GTCTTCCGGAGTCTTTTGGGGCTCGTGCAACGTACTTGACTCGCTGGCTGGATTTAATCCGTTTCCTGCCTCCGTGGACTAGATCAAACTTGACAAACAGGCTGGATTTGCACAACAGCCCCAGCAACCACAACAGAAACCAAGGTAGCCAAGGGGAACCCTGAGGCTTTGCCGGTTGGAGAACCGCAGCTGCTGGCGGAGCCGGTTGAGTGTTTTGTATCAACACTGCCTGCATTCGACCTTCTCTCAGCGCTTTTAAAAAGTTGGTGGAATGACAGGCCGGAGCTCTGAATCAAGACTTCGGATCTTCTTGATCCTTACAGGCAGACCTCGACTTGCCACCACCGTTCTTCCCCCAAATTTATGTTGGAAAGTGAGGCACTTAAGTGAATTTTGGCCCATTTCCCAAACGTTCTTGCCACAAGGGCTAAGCGAATCGCTGCAGTTGTTAAGTGGGTAACACGGTTGCTAAGTGAATCTGGCTTCCCCCGTTAATTTTGCTGCTCCGAAAAGGGGATCGTGTGACCCCCCCCCCAGGACAAAACATGACTCAGAATATTTGAATCTTGATTACGTGACCATAGGGATGCTACAACCGTCATTAAGTGTAAAATCACTTTTTTCAGGGCCGCTGTAACTTTGAGCGGTTCCTAAATGAACTGTTATAAGTCGAGGACCACCAGCCGTAAGCTTTGCTGCGTGTAAGGCAGTTATCTGCCTGATGCAGAAGCCAGCCTGATGTTCTCTGTCGCCCTCTCCTCCAAGAAGGGAGCCAGTTTTTGCAGGCAAATTATGACTTCATGTGAAATTTTCACCCTGGTGCTTTCGAGATTTTCCAGACAAAGAAGGGAAAACGTTTTCTTTTGTTAGAGAGAAAAAAAATGAATTTAATTAATGAACTAAAACTTGACCGGGGATCCTCACAGCTCAATGTTTTCTGCTCTCCTTCCTGCCTCTGTTCTTAGGTGGCCAGGAATCATAGAAGCCGACCCCGACATTGGAGAGTACTTCCTGTTTTCTTCCCAGGCAGACTCACTTCCTGTTAAGTATTGTATTTGCCCCGTGCCGTGTTTCTCTGTACACGTATGCCCCACCACACGTGGTCACGCATGACAATCGGGCCCCGCGGGAGAAGAGTTCTGTCTAGTGGGGATTCCTTGGAAAAGGTGGGTGCCGGAAGCCCAGCTGCAAACAGCTAAGGGTGAATAAAAAATGAAAGGTAGCCAGCCAGAGGCCAATGAAATGGCCCCAAAAGCAAATGGAGGAGTGGGTGCCAGGCAAGTGCCCCCTTTCCAAAAGGAGATTTGCATTCCCCCCTAGCGGGGACAGGCAAGCAGTGTCTGAGCAGGGGAACTGGGCAATTAGACTCGTTCTTATTCCATGATTTTCATTGCAAAGATCATTGTATCTTCGCTCCAGTCAAGGACACACACCCCCCTTTCCTCGTGCTCCCGTTCTGGGACAGGCAGCCTCTCCCCAAAATGGCCACTGACCCTCCTCTCCTTCCGGTTTAGTCCAAGTACCACGTGACCTTCTTTGGCCACTCCGTGACCCGCGCTTGGATCTCTGCCTCCCTGCTGAAGAACTACGGGGAGCCACCGGCGGAAGGAAATGCCGGGGTAAGAGGGGCTTTGCTTGAGGGGTTCGTTGCGAAGCAAGCCACTAAACCCGAGGCTTTTGTCACATGTGTGCGTGTGGCTTCACAACCCCCGTACAGAAGTGACAGAGCTGGCGCCCCTCCCTGAGCCTCCCCAGCAGGTGACTCTCGACACGGATCTGTAGCTGGTTGCAAAGAATTGTGGTCCATGACTCCAAACTTTGCAACTGTAAAAATTGGTGGGCTGCACGGCTGGCTGAAGAATTCTGGGCGCTGAAGCCCACAAGTTGCCACCTTTGGAGACCTCCTGCCCTGTTTTGATGAAAATACTTGGTGTATTTTGATTCCTTGGTCTGTAAGGCCACTTCCACCTCCTGGGCCTCCTTTCTAATCCCTTACGGCTGTACTTTGTGGGCAGCCACGACCGCTGACTTATTCCGACCCAGCACACCAGGAGTTCCCCCAGGTTTCCCTGTGAACGGTAACTCTGGGTGGGCTGCCAGGGCACCGTCTCAAGGGAGACCACTCCCTTGAATGTCTTTCTGGCCCTTTAAGTCACATGACTTCCTTTATTTAACTCAATGAGTTGAGACTCTGTCCTGGTACAAAACAGCCCCCTCCCCTTCTCTCTCTGCCCAGAGTGATTGACAAGAAACTCTCTGGAGCTTTTATAAAAGGAGAAGGGGTAGGCTTCACACACACACACACACACACACACACACACAC